TTAATTTTATTATAATCAATGGCTTGACAAATATGTCCAATTTTTAATTTCTGATAAGCAAACATTTATCAATCAGCTAAGTGACATTTTATTTGTATTAATCACACACACAGATGTATATACACACACAAGATGGATCACAGCATAGCCACATGTCTCTCCATCTAACTTTTGAAATATAGAATTGTTACTGTAAATAAATGTTCTTAAAGACTCCAGTTGCATTTTCAACTTCTTTTATATTATATATATATAAAGAAAAACAAAAATGTTGATGGAATCAACAGACAACTTGTCAACAGATCTAAAACCCTTATTCTGATAAAGTCTCAAACAAAAATGTCAATACTAAAAAGAAGAATATAAGGCCTAAAGGCAAACATACCTACTCAGTAAAGTGCTCAAAGCCTAGATTGCCTAGGAAAATCAAAAAATGCTTGATAACATTAATTGCTATGGGAGGATGGCTCTGGTCATAACCAGAGTTCAAGTTATCTGAAGATCACATAAGCATGAAGCTATGGTTATGATTAGGGACATCCTTTCATAAGAATTAATTATATTTGTCTGACAATTGCAAAGGCATGAAACCCAGAGCCACAAACTCGCATCAATACAACTAAGTATGTTAGCTCTATCACTGAGACTGAGCACTTTCCAATAAGCACCACGCATATATATATATATATATATTATTTCTTATTACTATAAATGTTATATTTAGCAAAGCACACTTTGGCTAGAGGAGTGGTTTCCTTGATGGTAAAAAGGGAATACAGGCTCAATTTGTCCAAATCAGTTATTAAAAAACGGAAACAGGAGCTAGATTGTTGTAAAAGAAAGAATTTTTAACCAAATCATATCTTTTCTAAAATTGGTATTAGTGAGATATGCTAACCTCACATGAAAAAAAAACAAACATATTCATTTTTTTTTTTTTTTTTGCTTTAATTTTTATTTTGTTTACCAAAAAATTTTCTGATTTATAGATGAACTCATTCCTAAAATCTTTTAATCCCATCATGTATCTTCAAGAATTAGGAAACGCTTGAATACACACATCAGATAATTTTCTTTCATCTAATAATGTTCTATTGATTCCATGATTAAATTACATTTATAAAGATTATTTCCTTGGGATTCTTAAAGTAAGTGTCTTTACCTAAGACTAAATTATCATGTCATAAAAACATTATAACAAAACAAATTAATATCTTTGTTGGAAATTGGACAGTGTCTTATAATTACATTAATAACTGCAATTTATATCTAATTACTCTTTATGGTGAAGGTGACAAAATAGAAAAAAAAAACCTTTTATATCATATATTTTATCTATAGCAGAGACCTCTTTTAGACTAATAATGTTTTATCGATTGGGTTAGTCTTTTTTTTTTTGTGTGTGTGTGTATATATATATATATATATATATATATACACACACACACAAAGAAACAAACACAGCAAAGGTTTGTTACAATTAGATAAAAATAAATACTAACAATAGAGAGATACTTAGCCTCAAGTTTAAAATTTTTGGTGTCTGATGTATATAGATGCATAACTTAACAACTAAAGCAATAGAAAGCTCAATGTGGTTGGTTATTTTGTTTCATTGCTATTTATTTTTAAAATATCCCATAATGCAATAGCAGTAGTTTTTGCCAAGAAAGGAGATATGTAGTAAGATTCTGGATATAAATGACTGAAATTACATTGCTATTTTTTGTCTTAAATTACTTACCATTTTAATTAAAATTGCAAAAAAAAAAAAAAAAAATTCACATGAAATGTTTCAGGTGCCAAAAATGTAATTTTAAAGCTAAACATGCCTGTATCTTCAGTGTTTCTCATAAAATTATAATCAGCATTAGTTGTATTTCTCCTCACCTGCTTATATATATATATATATATATATAAAGCATAGTTGCAGTATAAACCACAGGTGGGCTCTGTGGGTTTTGAACAAACACAAATGTGACTGAACAAGCGTCTGAATTAGGGATTCGCTAGCCACCCTAGTAGATAAGCTTCCTCAAATATGAGTGACCAGTTATATATATATAATATATATATATATATGATGTGAGAGAGACACTCCATCAATAAAACAATTATTAACTGAAGAAGTTCTTGCTAAGGACAAAACCTCTAATGTAGATTTTTTTTTTCTAATATACTTGTATAACTGAGTAAATATTCATGGCTTCTGACTTGACAGGATATGAAGACAGGCCAAATTTTCTGACAACTTTTAGTAACAATCATTATTTGAATGTGTTTATCAAAAAATCAGAAAATGTGACAATTTCACAGGGAACAAAGTAAAATAATTTAGAACAAATAACTTTTTTCCTTTTCTAGTTTACAAATCAACAAGAAATACTTCTTACAAATACAAAAATTTTGATATATTTGTACGAAGGAGTACTGAAAAGTTCTCAAACTAGAAAGCTAACCAGATGACAAAAAATTAAAAAAAAATCAGTATTTCTGGAAATTTCACATTAATCAAATCAAGGACTTTTCAGTACCATTTTTATTATTTAGGCATATAATATATAAGTTATGGATCAAATCCCCAACAGGATAAGATAAAGTGGAAATATATATCAATCTGTTTCAGTTTTATTAAAGCTTTGCAAAGATTGAAAGAAAAAAGATAGAACTTTTTCAATTTTGTTTGGGTCAGTTCTCATTGGTCAGTCACGTATCATGTGCATTAGAACTGTAGATAATTCTTTATGTATGTAAGTTTGTAGAGATTCTGGTATATCTAAATGTGCATCAGATGGTAATGTTTATTTGTAATTGTGTATGTATGTCTGTCTAGTAGGAGTTCTAATGTCTTCACATTTGTGTGATCAGCCGGCTGGCATTTCACCTTATTCTTTTTCTTTTTGTATTATGCACATACTCTTAGTATTCGATAGGTATAAGTTAGATTCTTTAAGAATGGGTTCAAGGAAGGATGTAATGTTTTAGGCATGTGTTTATAACTGTTAATGTTATATCTGCTTAGACATATCAGAATTTTTACAAACTTTTATACATATAAAATTATCTACAGTTTTTAATGCACGTAATACATGACTGACCAATGAGAACTGACCCAAACAAAATTCTATCTTTTTCTCTCAATCTCTGAAAAAGCTTTAATAAAAGTAAAACATGTTAGATTAATAAACATTTCCTATTTGTTCTTTATCATTATATATATATATATATATATATATGAATCCAACAGAATAAGATAAAGAACAAACAGGAAACATTTACCAATCTAACATGTTTCACTTTATTCTCTCATGAAGCTTTAATAAAAGTAAAACATGTTAGATCAATAAACATTTCCCATTTGTTCTTTATCTTATGTAAAATGTGTGTTTTGATAATACAAGAGAAAAAATATGAAACTGTGCAAAAAGCAAGAACATTTGACCACCCTCTTCCCATAAATAATGATAATAAACATAAACCCTTTCCAAACATGGTAGCCAAAAAAATGGTCAGTTGTGCAACGTGTCTCTTGGAGTCGTGTTTGTATCAAACAAGTGACTGGTCGAATACAATAAATGACCATTTGCAGGGTGATACCTGCAGCAGCTATGTAAAGGGAGAAAAAAATGTCCATAATTCTTGCTCCATGTACAAGTAGCAAGAATTTTAAGTAAATTACTTCATTCCGTTATTTTAAACAAAAAAAAAAAAGCTATAATTTTAATGAATCCCACCCTCCCATAAAATGTAACCACAAAACAAAAAAACAAAAATTCTTGCTCAAATACCCAAAAAGCAGGGGCAAGAAAGGATTTTTTTTTTTTAATTTTTTTAACGTTATTAATAGAAGCAGTTTCTAAAAATATTAACAATTGAGGTAGCAGCATCTTTACAGAGTTGTTTCCCTTTAAAGAAAGATGCAAGGCTGCCATTTTTTTTTTTAATGAGGTTTTTGTAAAGCAGAACCTACAGGCTTCCTGTTTAAATGTTACAAGAAAAGCTCTGAAAACCCAAAGGTCTGCTGCTAGCCACTTTAGCTGTACAGTTTAAATTTGTTTTGTTGAAAGTTGGTTATCAGGACTGAGGGAAAAGAGAAAAATAGTTCTAATGTTTGACTATAATCTAAAACCAATTTTTACCCTCGTTCTTGTAAACCATTTTTCACCCCCATTCTCGAACAACCAGATAATCCCAGATTTCACATATCCTCCTGGGAGTTAAGGTCAAAGTTATCCTGGAAGCTGATAAGCTTCTTTCTTTGTCTTATTATTTGAGATAATAAGCAACAAACATTTTTAAACAGGGCAGTGGGAAAAGGAAGGTAATTGTGCAAAAAAAAAAAAAATTCTTTAAAAACAAATTAACAGGAAATATTTATAAAGAATCCTTTCAAACAAAATTTAAACCTAAAAATAATGGTTTGTTTAAGAAACGGAATTCCCCCCACCCCAAAAAATAAAAACATTTTTAGAGAATTATGAAAAACTAAATTGAAATGAAAATTCAAAATCAAAATTTATGACAACACTTATAAGAAAAAAAAAATATAACAAAACTGATCTTTGAAAACAAAGTTATAAGCTTCCTCAAAAATTGTAATTTTCCAGAATGCAGTCAGGCAGATAATTCAGTTGTCACTTTGCTACAGATTTTACAAGTACACAAATGTACTAACTGCAGAGTTAAGAAATTAATAAAACTGAACTGCCTTTGCATTTAAAAATTTTCTTTTTTTTTTTTTTTTTTTTAAATGGTTTCTCATGAGGCAATGTCAACCATTTTCTCTCAACATGTTTAACAATGATTCATATCAGGTGAAGAGCTAATGCACTTATCCTGACCCAGTAGGTCATTGTGGCAAAACCTCTTAGCAAAATATAACAATATTAAGGATGAAAGTCATGTCCATGTTAGCTTTAGTTTCTTTTTATGCTAACAGTTCCATATTTTCGGTATCTCATTCCTGGAGGCTGTTTTTGTGCTTGAAGAAAGAACCTGATTTATTTTTTGTTGCATGAACCCATTTTCTTGACCCTGTAAGATGCCAGTTCAATTGACCCAGCTGCACGTACGGAGCAAGTTGAGTCTGTGCTGCTCTGGCTAGTGTTGAAAAAATACTCTTGACGACAAATTGGGGAGGAAACCTCAGCAGATTCAACCTCATTGCAACGAGTAACAGGACTAGTTGGAGACGCAAGAGGTCCAGAAGAGCTTTGTGGAAGAGGTGGCTGTACCATTACTGGTGTCTGGGGACTTTTCACAGGACTCGTCTTTGGAGACGGAAGTCCAGCAGAGTCCCGTTGGTTCCTGGTAACAGATGACTCGCGTTCTGCTGTAGTGCTGGAAAAAAGTAACGAGCACTCGATACTCCGCTGTTTCGTGCGGAACGCTCTCCGGCGAGATGCTAACCGGCTCCTTGGACTTTCAGTTGGGGGTGACTTTAGGTCAATAGCGCTGTCCCCATCATCAAGTGGGTTAAACTGGACATTAGAAGTGGACGTGTCTGAATCTGTATTTTGGAACCGGTTGGCATGAGTAGTAAGAAAAAACTCGCCCAAATTAGCGACCAGGTCCATTGGGAAGCCAATCTCTTGCTGTTGTGAGGAGCTTCCGTGTATGGATTCCTGGTGGAAGCGCTCCGCTGCACGACGAAGCAGCAGCGGGGACCCGGGTAGGGATTGGCACTTGCGGCGCCGACCCTTGGACCGTTTGTGGTGCTGTGGAGTAACCGGAGTGCACGGTGGAGTCAGGGGAGATGATGGAGATGGCAAGTCAAAGGTTGAGGAATTTTGGTCACGGTTGGCCCCTACCATTTTTTTACCATCCCGAAACTTGTTCGACTGAGCAAATGGATTTGCTCTGCCTGGCGTATAGAATTGATCAAGCATGCTCATATTTTGACCAACCACCATTGGTGTCATGGTTGGATCATCATCCATGGATGCCCAGTTGCAAGAATCCAAAATATTGTCTTCAGATCTGGATCGTTTGCAGTGGGATTTGATTTCTACAAGAGAAAAAAAAATATATAGCAAAATTATTAGCATTTTTATGTATATGAGAAAAATACAGTTTTAAGGTAAGCTATTTTTATAGGTAAAAGTGCTCAATATTAGAAATAAAGCATGTGTAGATATAAAATGGACACTGAGATCAACACCATGTGGAAACAATCTTCAGGCCATGTGTGCTGATTTGACTATATATACCAGTCGATGGTGCATTATGGGTAGTGAGATCTATTGTATTATCCTAACAGCTATGTTTCAAATTGCTCTAGAGGATACGGAGTGAAAATAATTGTGGATCTGGATGCAGTTATTTGTAGCTATTGTATAATGTTGTTTGTTAAATCTTTACTCAATATTTATTTATTAGTTATTTACTATAGATTAATATTATTATTACATTTGTGTTTATTTATTTTCTTCTTTTTTTCCCCCCTCTTTTCAGGGATTGGTTATATTATTTGTTTAGTTTAAAGTATTGGCCTTGTTTAACATATGTTACATTACCTGCATTGTATATATATTATATGTGTTGTGTGTATATATATATATATATATATATATATATATATATATTATATATATTTTAACAATATATTTATATTTATAGTTTTCTATTTTTTTAGTTTTCAATTTTAATAAATATAAAAAATTTGTTTTTGTGTCTGCATTTTGAGATAAGTTCTGATTTAGTAATTTTTGTTGGTCTGGAAAGGTTATTATAGCTATTTTTTTTCTCATATATATATATATATATATATATAGAATAATTAGGAAAAACCTTACATTTATTACTGAAAATTTTTATTTCAATGAATATGATTATATTTATCGAAATAAATTTATTACTGACTATAGATTTTTAAGGGTTTTTTTTTTCTAATTATTATTATAATTTGTTCTGTATCATACATTGAGCTCTCATATGGATGAAAAAGTTTTCTTTGGAATAAGCCCTACCAATTATAATTTGGTATATATATATATATATATATATATATATATATATAATCTGATGAGACAAAGTGTGAAGTCTATAAACATCATTTCTCTGGTTTTCAGGTTATAATGAAAGGCAAAACTATATGTAAGGAAAATGGGATCTATGGGGACCATAAATCAAAAGTACATGATCACATCTATCACCAGACCCCAGAGACCGTGTTTAAATTTGTGATGTCAAGGCACCAATGAGAAAAGCTCATCAGAATAACTACTAGTGGGAAAGTGACTAAAGCTGAGGTGCCAGGTCAGAAGTAATAACATTGCTGATTCTTTTTTCAAGAATCTCTAGACACATAGCAGAAGCATAAGGCCAGATATTTCGATGCACAAGATAGATTCATGTCAGTGGAAAATGTGAGATGATGGGATTGTATAATTGGCACTATAAACAGAATCTTTTTTTTTTTTTTTTTTTTTCAAAATCAGCTTACAAATATCAAAGAAAAATTTTTTAGTTTAAATTAAATTTTATAAAAGTTGATGGGGGGTGGGGTACAGTTTGCCATATAAATTCCCTCCCCCATGAAAACAAAAACAAAATATTTCACCTGACATATCATTTAATGACAACCCATTTCATCTTCATGTGTTTTCACATCAAAATGAAAGATAAAACTGCATTTTTTGTGGGACGGGGGGGTGGTTATTAAATTTGTTAATGTGCATTTGCTAGATTGACATCTGGTCAGAATGAAGCTGTTGAATTCTTTTGATTTTAAATTTAGCTGATTCCTAGCAGATCAGCATTATTATTTCTATTAGTGCCTATACCACGTTACGGTACTATTGTTTTTCTGTTTGCATTCTATATCCTACTAACCCACACACACAACATAAACATCACGTTAATCTGATAAAGTCCTAGAGGATGAAATACATGACATGAAAATAAATCTTTCCACTTTGTATAATTAGGAAAATTAATAACAGTCCACCAAAAAAATGTATACACACATCAGGAAAGAAAAAAAAAATCATCTTCCCTAGTTTTATCAAATTGCAATAACAATGTTTGCAGTAGTAGAATATTTTCTCAACAGATTGCATTACCCTCATGGCTCTTACTCAACAAAAGTAACTTGTATTAATCCAATAATGTCTGAATAAATTTAGCATTACAATATCTATACAAGATTTTCTTTTCCTGAAGTATGTATACATTTTTTTGTCAGACTGTGTGTTTGTATATATATATATGTATATAATTAAAAGACATACAACCTTAAGGTTTTGTGACTATAATTTATTTCCCCAGAAAATATATATGTATAAATAAAAAGGTAAAAGACAATAGGAAAACTGTATTATTAGCCAACATGTTTCGTACAATGAGGACTTTCATTTTTCCTTGAAAAAGTCCACGCTGGAAGAAACACGTTGGCTAATAATACAGTCTTCCTATTATCTTTTACCTTTACATACATAGTCTTTTTCTACAGGTTAACTGAGAAACTTTTCATATATATGTATATAAAAGTATGAACATGGTCATCATGCAATGTTGATTATTGTCAGTTTCATGCCTCAGTGGTATTTTCAGACCAAGTCTGTGGATTGTATTGAGGTTTGAAACTGACAGTGACCATGCAGTGTTGTTTCCCATGGCCACACTGACTATATTTATAAATGTTCTATTGCTGATATTGAACACTCTTCCTCTATAAATAAAGAAAATTTTTAATGTGTGTGCGTCTACATTCAACATTATCACTTGAGAAGACACCAGAGGTGTTGAAACAAAATGGCTATTTTTGTAGTGATTTTATAAGATATTTATGTTATAATTTTCAAATAAATAAATAATTATATTCGATCTACTCTGTATTGAGCACTCTTTTAAGAATAGTAATTGTTGGTTATTGGAATCTATTCTGTATACACCAATCATATACTTGGAGATATATATATATATAATTTTTAGATTCTGAGGAATCTAAATTCAATAGCTGAAGAAAAACTCACCTTTCCTGTCTTTTGGAATTTTTCCAGCATTACTTAAATGGTGTTGCATTTTGAGAAGACACTCAACATTGTCAGCATATGAGGGACGTTTCTTAGGGTCAATCTGAAAAACATTCGAAATATTAGCTCCGATTTTCTCGAAAAATAAACCTGGACAACAACATACATAATTAGAGACCATGAACAATTGAAATCTATAAAATAATTTCCTTTTATATAAATCACATGCAGAAATTGTGTTGCATATCTTAAGATTTGTCACAAATCTCTGATGTCTTTTTCTGACCACCCTTTTTTTTTAGTTCAGCATTATCAGTGCCACATATTTCTAACTGCCAATACTAACAAACTAAGTGAAAAATAATGAATATACATATGATTGGAGTGAAAGTTTGTGGCATTTGAACACATAACTGAAATTTATAACATATGTACCTATTCTGAAAGGTACTATTTCAACACCTCTTTCTATATGACTTTTGTGTAACTTGTAAAAAAAAAACAAAAACATTTAATATTGACATTAAAAGTTAGAATAAAGGAACATGAAATGCATTTCTGTCATTTGATGCTCTTAGAAATGAAAAAAAAAAAATAAGAAGCTGTACAAACAGCTAAATGTACAGAAATGGTGCTGTAGCTGAGAATATTGTTCATAAGTATTTTGCTAGGTTCAGAATTGAAAAGAATGTTTTCGCAATCATTGTTGATGACCAAACTGAATTGGTAATTACAGATAATCCAGATCTCACGACATATAAATGTGGTAAGGCATGACATATAAATGTGATGAGGCATTTGAAAACACTTGGATATGTGAATCCTATGATGTTTGAGTGACTCATGATTTAACAAAGAAAAATTTAAATTGACTATAGTTCCATCTGCATTTCTCTGCTTAAATGCAACAAAAATGGCCTATTTTTAAAAAGAATAATAACAGCTGGTGAAAAATGAATTCTTTACAACAATGTGGAGTGAAAAAGGTCTATGGAGGATGAAATAAGCAGCCATTAACTGCTCCATAAGGCTAGTTTACATCCAGACATTATGTATTACAACTTCCTTTTGTAAAATCAAATGTACTGTTCTCAATTGAACTTGTAGGGATACAGAAGGCGATTATCTCCCTTAATGGGTCACGTGATGGACCGCTTAGTGATGTTACTTCATACAGTGACAAGAGTAGCCAGTCATTCAGTTTGTTTACAGCAGCCAAACTGAGATGTTGCTTTCTTTAGCCCTGGCCCCTCATAGCCCAGGCAACACAGTCCTCAATTTGGGAAAACCCAAAACTCACCATTTCCCCTTCATGTAATATGTCCTTGCCTGGGATATAGTAAATGAATCCAACCCATTTTAATCTGGGGTCCTAAACGTGGCTTTTCCACACACAAGAGTAAGCCTACCCAGTTACAGCTGCATCACATATGATCACTGAACTTAAGCAACATCGAGCCTGGTGAGTAACTAGATGGGTGACCACTTGGATGTGCGGGTGGTGTAATGGATCAGAATTGTTAATTGGAGATAAGAGTTCCAATTCAAGTAGAATTTGTTATTTACACTTATGCAGAAATACCTTTAGGAAAGTTAGGTATCCACTTTCTCCCCATAGCCATGAGTTAATTAGTAAGTCTTGTATACAGGTGGTGTAATGGATAATGGCTAGGAATTGTTAATTGGAGAGCCAAGCTCCAATTTCAGTGAAGTTCATTATATTCATTTGCATGAATCTACCTCTTCTCCCCCTAGCTATGGGTTAATTAGTAAGACTTCTATTACTTTAACCATTATTATCTAAAATAAACAAAAAAACTATATGCAAAATATGTAGATATTAAAAAACCTACAGAGGTTGCCAAAATGCTAAATAAAAACAACCAACCAACTAGTTATGGGTTAAACAGTAGGGTATGACAGGGTCCTTCAGCCTTGGGTAGCAAGCATTCTAGAAAAAGGACAACTCTGAAATGAAAAAGGTATGTAGCCTTGGTAAAGCACATACTATACAGCTAATAAGAGGCTCATGTAGTTTACAATGACTATGTTGAGTGGATTTGAAAAAAAAAAAAAAAAAAAAAATCGACCAACTGTTTTAAACAGTAGAGACAGCCCAGCTCCACCACCACCACAAACTTTTACTTAAAATTGATCAGACTAAGAGAAAAGAAGAAAATGAAACTACTAACCTGACAACATCTGAAGGCCAAATGTAGAAAATCCAGCGGGCAGTACTCTATCATTTCACTGAAGGCAATGTAATCCAAACCAAAATTCTGAAAGAAGAAAATTAAATTTTCTAGAAAAGGGTTAAAAAAATAACAAAAAAGGTGTTCCAGAAGCATCTATAACATACAGGGAAATGCCAGAAAATAATTCCATAGGTTGATTGAAGGAAATTGTTCACAAGTCATCGTAACTGAGTGTTTCAGTTCACTGGTTTTGTTCAAAATGTATTCGCATCAGATCATGTACTCTTTCTTAGAAGCTAATGCACATTCAGCATGGTTACAGTATAAAGTATAGATTGACTCACTGCATATTGAAAAATCCAATATGACTGAGCAAGTGTCTGCAACAGGGATTTATTTAGCCACCTAGTAGACTTAATCTCTTAAGAAAAACCTAAAAAATACAAGAAATCTGGCAGCCTTTTTTTTGTCTTACTGAAAAAAAAAAAAAAAATTTTTTTATATATTATATATATATATATATATATATATATATATATAGCTGATACCCACTGGTTATTTTATTTTGCTGATTGAAATTAAGTAGTGTAGTAAACGAGCCTTGAAAAACAATGCAGTTGAATGGAAAGTAATGAATAATGCAGTGTGTTCGAATGGAAAGTAATGAATAATGCAGTGTGTTAAAGGTTAAGATGGATACAAGGGTTCCAAAAACAAATAAAGGCCCTGGATGCTATGGAAAAACTTCAAAAATGTGTGCTGGAAGTTCAAATCAAAATTCATCATCCTCATAATTCTTTGATTTGGTTTTTAATTCTTATTAATTACCTTAAGCCTTTGAACCCAAGCAGTCAGTATACTGACCCCTGTATGAAAGTGTATATACCGTACTCATCAGGTGTGGGGGTCAGGATAACAAAAGGTTAATAAATACAAATATTTTCATGGCAACTGCTCTGACAAGTTTTTTTCCATGTTTCCCCAAATATACGAGTTTAAGCGTGCTAATAGATTGGTATCTAGGTCCCACTTGTTTACTGTTGAAATAGCTAAATACAACCACCACTTCTACTCCAACAGTTTCTTTTCTCCCACCTCTTCCATTTCCCTGATAACCACAATCTTTAATAATTTAAATGCAATGTCAATCACCATCTATCTTTTTGAACTATGTTCATCTTTTGTCCTTTCCTCAATCCTTCCTATTTTCAGTCTTCTCCTTCATTCCCTGTAACCCCCTGCATACTAGTGGGATTACCGCCTTTGCTTAGGGTGAAATGAATAAAAATAAAATGATATATAAATATATAAATATATATATATATATATATATATTCTTCTATCTGATTAGCATATTAATTCATTAAACTTCTTTCCAAGAAAATAAACATCTCTTAACACACGCACACGAAATGATTTTATTAAATTAAATCAAGAATTCAAGTAACTTTTTATCTTGCTTTACGACTAAAGTTTATTTTGATGACCTGCCTTTTTAGCTGCCATAAATCAAAGGAATCACTTCTGGCTATGCCAATAGTTTGAATCATAACAGACTCCTCTTTGTATCCACTCATAATGTGTAAGTGTGTTCCCAATGAGGCTAAGTTACTGTTCGGTGATGAATGAGACACTGTATAGACCCTTGCAAATTTAGTTCTCGTAATTACTGGCGGCTCTCTAAGTGTGTGTTAACCAATGATAAATCCTGGCAAACAATATAACAGAAAAGTAGACCGATGGGAAGCAATTAAAACTACCATATCAAAAATTGAACCTACTGAAATAAAAAAAAAATTAAAAAAATCAATGGATAATAGATTACTAACTGTTACTAAGGAGGGCCATTATATTAAAATGTAAAAAATTCAAAGACTTATCATACATAGTCTGTCTATATTTCTGAGATGAGGTATTATGTACAGTATCTACATTAGTCGGACTATTGTCCTCATCTTTGTTGCCATATTTGTCACAACGTTTCTTCAGGTGGTAGGATTTTCGAACTGAACCCTTTATTTCGATCACTGGGGTAGACTGTTCTAGTTCCACGTGCCATGTTTGATGGATGTCAGTTTTCCCTCTGAAAGTTCTCCACTGCCTTAACCAGGAATTGAACTCACCTTCTTTGGGTCTGTCACTGGATCTAACCAACGCCTTTATCCACTGTGCCATGTGTCCTTGAGGACCACCTGAAGAAGGCCGGAGCGTACAACGGCCGAAACATTGTGACAAATATGGCGACAAAGATGAGGACAATAGTCCGACTAATGTAGATACTGTACTTATCATACATGTTTGTTATTTGTTCTATTATGTGTGTTGTTCAATTTTTTGATGATTTTATTACTTTTTTATTGAAGTAAAATGTGATTATTTGGTTTTTGCCTAACAACTTCAATAAAACATTAATACTATACTACCTAAAATTTTAACTCCAGTTTTATTTTGACATTGAAATTGATTGTTTAAAATTTGACAACTTTTTTTCAAACCAAATTTGAATTATTGAAGTTTTTATTGTTTGCTTAATAACTTCCAACAGAGTGTATATTGATATTCTTGACAAAATCCAAAAATCTGCAGTATTACTGGTCCTGATCTGACAGACACTTTCCCCACAGCACATGACATGGCTTCCCTGTGTCTTTTCTATGAATATTTTCATGGCAGTTGTTCTAATGAGCTTTCCTCCATGGTACCACAACCACTAGAATTCAAGCAGATTACTAGATTGGCAATTAGGTCCCATCATGTTACTGTTGAAATAGCTAGATGTAGCCATAAGTTCTATTCTAATAGTTTTTCTCAAATTTCTTGCCTGTGGAACTCTTTTGATTTCTTGCTTCCCTACCACCTATGATCTTCAAAAACTTAAATGCAACATCAATCACTACCTTCCATTTTCTTGAATCCCGTTTTTTTTTTGTTTTTTTTATTATTATTCTTTCTCCTCAGTAACATCTTCTCATTATATTTTACTCTCAGTACCCCCTTTTGTGTCTTAGTAACATTAATAATAATATAAAAAAAAAAAATTGATCCATACAAGGAAAAACTCTGAGAAGTAACATCTGATTCACATTTATTAACACAACAAACTCTTAGTAAAGAATAAAGATTGACTAACTTGACATTATAATGCATATACAGGCTGAGTCTTAGATAACAATTATTTGCAATAAAAAAAAGTAATATTTCTTTTAACATTAATTATTTTAGAAATACTTTTTACAATTTTTTAAAGCTTTGGTCGATAATACATACAGTTAATGAATATTAAAAAGAACAAAAACAAATGAATGTTTTATTTTCGAAAGTCAATTTGAATTAGCTATTATAAAACATGAATTATGTCCCTTACATTGTGCGAGAAGTTGTTTCCCTTGTCATGATGAAAGTTTGTTTTCGACACTAATTGGTACCTAAGCTAAGATACTTATTTCGGCATTAGAATGGCTTTTTTTTTTTTCATGCACTGTACAATACCGCAAGTGTATTTGTAATAATATTTTTGTAAGTTCTGTAACCCATTACTATACAAAAATGTTCTCACTTGAACTGGTGACAATGCCGTTAATTCCTTGAAAAGACCGACGCCAAGAAATAATAGAGATCATTCATATCAGCTACATTTGACGAATTTTTTTTTTTTAAAGAGATGAGATCTCACACCATTAGTGAACCAGCTCAAAAGAAACATACAAATAGAAATGGCAGAATAAGGACATCGTACAGTATTTTTGCATCAACTTCAGTTTCACCACGAAAATAAATAGTATCAGCACAAACCAAGAGCAGTTAAAATATGCGTCAGACATTACTTAAATAGACTGGTCCACTCATAAAAAAAAAAAAAAAATAGAGAAAAATCTTTTGGAGAATCATTTTTAAAGATTAGTATCTTTTAGAGCTTCCTTGGGCCACAACACTTACAAATATTCATCTTAATATTTGTGCATGTGCTTCTGAAATAATTTTATACAAAAATTGTTTTTTTTTAAATTTAAGTTTAAAAAAAATCTTCTTTCACTACAATATAATGACCACCAGTAATTTCAAAGGATTTTTTTTTCCTTCAATGTATCGATTTTTCTAAATTCGGACATTCATAGACAACATTAATCAACAAATGAAAATTTTATATTTTTTGATAGGCCCCAGAAAGGCTTCTTTGAGTAGAGATTTCATCTTAATTTTGATTGGTTTGAAAATACCATTTTTGTGTACCAATGTGTGAAGATCGTTTTTTATTCACTCCAAATCAACATGAATGATTTTTGTCATTTCGGTTTGGCTTAGCGAGATGTTCACACTGGTTTACTACAAAAAAGAAATTAAATAACCTGGCCTAGTAACTGAAAAAAAAAAAAAAAACTATAGAAAATATCTGATGCACTTGGAATGATTCCTGAAAGTGAGCATTGAGATAAAGTATAAATTTGTGATAGAATTGATATTGTACCAAATTACGGCATAGCTCGGATTTTGAAGGATACTGAAAAATCAGCTACCCAGTAGTTCGGGGACAGTGTCAATTCTATCGTGAATTTATAATTAATCTGACTTGCATCTTCAGTAATAGCCACAAGTCATTTTGTGTAAATATTATTTACTATTGTGAATAAAGTTTTATCACATCTTTATTTACCAGTTTATCTATATCTGCAAAAACGACGCTATCTAAACAGTAACAAACACGTTTGAACATCTTAGACATTATAACAAACAGTCACCAATCCATGGGGAATAACTCATTGCCACCGGTTGTATAAGGGAGAGAACTCTTTTGCAGCTAAACGGAACATTATTTACAAAAACATTTTATTTTTATGTATTATACTTTTTTTTTATCATTTAACCCCAAGTAAGGCAAGGATAAAGAATATGAGGAAAAAATGCTATTGAAAATGTGATCAATATCAGAACAAAAACTAAAACAGAAGGTAACGACTGAAAATAAATTGTTGAATTGAATATCAGATTTAACTGGAAAGCAGTAAACCAAAAGTGTTCCACAAGGGAGAAATGCGATAGAAGAAACTGTTAGCATAGAACTTACGGTTGCATCTAGCCATTTCAAC